CTAAACAAACCGCATCGTGAGTAATCTTGATGATCGGATGAGTGGAAAAAAGACATGTGATTGTGGTGAACCCGATTTTCGGTCGCACGACGAAATCGGTTTAAGTAATCTGTTTTTATTTCATTTTATTTTATTTTCCCATGAAAATTTTATTCCCAAATAGTGATATATATTAGGATATATTGGCATGCATACGCATCTCTGAAAGCGAGCCTGTTTTGCTACTCTGTTCTTTTGATTAGATATTTGTTTATTTTCTGGTGTAGATTTTTCGTTTGGTTCGTCGTTAGAGGACACAGTGAGACACCCCCCTTTCCGTTATCTCATTGTTTCGACGAATTCCGGATTCGCTTCCTACTTAGTATGCACGTTTCCTTCACAAAATAGCGCTATGCCGCATGGCTTACCGGCAAAACTCCACAAGACCCGAGGATGAATATTCACAGTGCTGTTTTAACATTTCGATGCCACCTACCACGCAAAGTTCCCACTGAGAAAGAATTCAGGAAGAACTCATGAACCACTGGGCAGACAACGAAGGCGAAACCCTGTCGTGAAAGAGATAGAAATAACTGCCGAAAGTGAAAATGACTCCACGGAGATATAGAGAGCATCAATACACCTGTCAAGCTGTGCATACAATTTGCGATGCTTTGGAGAATGTAGGAATTTTGTCAATATTTACAGTTTCTTCCTAGTTCCACTTCTGCTTGTGAAGTTACCTCAAATATACAATCGTATGCTGTCATTTTCCGCTCCCGTCATTTCCGTATTCAGGGTTGTTGTTCCTTTAGCCCAGAGCACAATAATTCCAGATCACTGTTTACTGGCCGATGTATTTCATGTCTCGAAATAATTGCAAACCACCCAGAATTATGAACAAAATAAACCAACCCTCTTGGTACACACAATTATCCACATTTGACTGAATAACGTAGCAGACAATCGGAAATGTTGGTGGGTGTTCAGATGGAATACGCTTGTTGAAGGATATCGAAACCATCGAAGGTTACATTCCTAATGGGCCCCGATTAGGAGAACTGCGCTGTTCAACAATATGTAGCAGTTTGTGCACGGTACGGATGTAATTGGTGTAAACCGAAGCTCAATAATGTGTGGTTGTGACAGTTCAATTCTATCTTATCTGCTTGCGTTGGAGATTAACCAATAACAGTTCAGGTTATTTGAGAAACACCAATGACGAGTTATACAAATAAATTCTGTCAACCTTAACAAAAAAGAACACAAGGATTATAACCGTATAAATTGAGATAATGCTTCTTGCATAATCAGAACACAAGCAAAATGACTACGAAGAGCAGCATGCTCTTGACGACTTTATTCATTTTCTTTTTCGCCTGGAATGCTGGTAAGTTGACAGAACCATGGAACTATCACAGCTGGTTTATTTCAAATACCACACTCAGTTTAGGATTAATATTGCAGCTGGACCACATTCGGTTTCATTATGCTTAGGAGCCGCATCTAAACAGGCGAAATGAAACCGAATGTGGTCCAGCTGATGTGAAAGTGACTGAATCACAAATGTCTTGGCGAGTTCCACCGGACGGAGTGCAATTTACTAGCGGGACAGAATGTGCATTCACATTTTCCACCGATGCGGGCTTCATTGTAGATTTTAAAGTAACCAAAATGGACGTGAGTTTTAGACCCATCTCTGTTTTCCAATCGCACTCATTTTATAATTAACAGTTTGGAGCAGGCAACAACTGCGACAAAGATTATATCATTCTAGGCTCCACCTTGGAAGAGGCACAGAATATGACTCACAAGTTTTGCGGCTCTCGGATAAACAATATATTTCCACCAATAGGACCCAAATTATTCATGACATCAAAAATCGAGACTGAGGCTCAAAAATCTTTTCTAGAAGCAACCATTTATAAACGT